GTGCTTTCGGAGCTCGGCGAGGACCCAGGGTGATGGAGCCCGCGGTGCCTGTGCCAGCCCTGTGCCAAGACCTCCAAGCACTCTGGCTTCACTAAAAAACTTTCCAAAGCGCAATTTCAGCACACGTGGCCAAGCCGCTCACCAGAGACCGCAGCAGCCAAAAGCTGGATCCCTTGCGTGAGCGTTCAGGGCGCTCTAAACCAGCTCCTCGGTTCGCCCCACACCTCTGCTCTACACATGCCTGCGAAGCGCAGAGCCTCTCCAGGAGCTTGACGGCAAGCATATAGAGAGATACCACTTTTCTCTTGCCAAATCCACACCTGGCAGGCAGCAGCCGCCTGCATTTTGGCGAGAGCCCGAGCCGAAAGCTCACCAGCAGCCTCAGCACCAGGCAATGTTCAGGGCATGTCCCGCAGAGCTGAGCTGGGATGATGGGGATGAAGGAGAGCAGTGGCTGCATGGGAACCAGCTGGCTCGCAGGGCTGCTCTGCTCAAATCCCAGAGGAGCCAGAGAAACACGGTGCCTCCTTTTAACGATGGAGAGAGCGGGGGGGTTACAGGGACAGCACCTGCCAGCGAGCTGCTGCGTCACTAGAGAAAGCCCTGACAGAGAAAGTACAGGCAACTTACGTCCCGGATGAGCTGGAAGTACAGCTGGAGGGACATTCAGACCAAGGACAGGTGGGGGTTCTCTTCCCCAAAAAAGGGCCCATGCTCTTCCCTGTGGGCCAGACCTCGTCCTGCCCTCCTCTGACTCCGCACATTGCAGCACAGCGCAGAGAGGTAGGCTAAGAGCAAGCTTTAAACTCCAAGGTCCTTTTAGCCTCCATGGGAAGCAGAGGCTGAGCAGCTCTCCAGCACCGAGCTAACCGGAGTAGGTGACACAGCAGGGAGTGTGTGTGAGCCTGGGAACAGGCAGTTTCCATTTCAGATCAGCATCTCCAAAAAGGAAGGTTCCTCCTGTCCCCTCACGGTGACAAAGTTGCTCTAAGCCCTTTGCACGTCCTCTTGCAGGACCAACCCTCCGTGCCCAGACCTGCTCGCTCCAAAGGGTTCAGTGCTACAGAACTGCACAAGGATTGTCTCAAAAAGCCTGAACACTTGAGGAAAGATGATGCTTAGAATGAACATGCTGCAAAAGGGCTGGGTTTCCCCACATCTCTTGGGGCCAAGCACAGCTCCAGCTTGCCAAGTTCATTCACTGAGGTACTCCATGAAGACGGGGCTCAGATGCTCCCTGCACAGAGGCTAAGCAGCTTTAGAGACCCCCAAAATGAGGGGAAGGAATAAAGTCTTCATCAACGATGCTTAAACCATCTTACACAAGATGCTTGATTTCAGTTGGCTGGAAAGTCCCGACGAGGCTAAACCCACCAACCCACGAACAAGGTGGTACCAGGGCAGCTGGGCCTCGGGTCAGACAGCCCAAGCCCAACCTCCCAGAGCTATGTTCCTCCAGCGCAGCTCCCAAGAGCCACACCTGAACATACAGAAGGGATGTGGCTCCCTCTGGCCCCTCTACGCATGGCAACACGCTTCTGGAGGGAAAAACCCAAAGGCTGAATTGTTAGCATTTTGAAGCCTCTTGCTTTCAAGCCCAGAGGCAGGTTAGTCTCTAGGTATTGCACTCCTCCCGTCTCCCCTCCGCCAAACCGCTGAGCCCCCGTAGCACTGCCCACGCAGCCTGCGGCGCCCAGGCGGGACTGGCACAAGCAGATGGGGTGGGTTAGGAGCCGTTCCCCAGCCTACTGCAGGGGCTGCCATGGAGCAACGCTACTAGCTGGGTGAACGAGCTGTCAAGTAGCAACTGAAAGGAGAGAGTGTCTTGAAAGACTTTTGACAGATTATTTGGTAAATACATGAATACATCTGATGTTAGCAGCTTGCAAGACCCCCAGCCTATGCTCTCAAGAGAAGCACACCTTACACCCTTCAGCATCTGCAGGCAAGGGGCGGGAAGTCTGGGTCCTGTACTTGTAGGCAAGAAAACGTCAATTCATGAAGATCCTCACCGAGTTCAGCACACTGCAGAGGGGAAGAGCTTCCCACCAGCCCAGTTACCTTCTGGGACCTGAATTAACCCATCCTGAGTGCTGCTATGAAGGCAGACTGGGGGGACTGAGCCCCGAGAGAAGGGTCCTGCTTCCCCACTCCACTACAAGGAATCCCAAGGACAGTCTGAAGACTGTAATGAGAATAAAGAGATTTTGACCCTCTTTCTCAAGTGAGGCTCATAAAGCACGAGTAAGACCTGGCTCCCTCTGGTCTAAAGGTTTTCCTTTCTTCTCTCTGGGAGATGAGGATGGGATTGCTGGAGTTCAAGACAATTGCTATGGTGTGTGTCCTCCTGAGAGATGGATGAGCCTCGTCTGAACACTACCCCAGTGACACCAAATCCTCTCACCTAAAGCCTGCAGCCCACAAAAAGAAAACTGTCTCAGACATCCAAAGCAGCAATTTCCAATAGCAGATGTTACCACAGGCAACATTCCAGTCACCCAGCTTTTTGTCCAACAGAGTCTGTGAACACAACACCGCCTGGCACACTTAGGTGGCAGAACCAAGCTTCTGTTTCTGCCTCCAGTGTGTGCAGACGTGCACGCACCTCCCTGACTGCCCTGAGGTACGGAGGATACGTGTGAACCCAACGTTCAAGACCCCCAAGTACTGGGTGGTCAGATACACCCATGAGCATGCAAGGTGCTAAGTGGCTCCAGTAGGATGCAGTGTCCGGACAAGCCACACCTGGGGCCGGGCAGACGGGGGAACTCGCACTCCGGTGCGGCTGGTCCCTGGAGGTGCACAGTTCTCATCTGTCCATGCCTCCTGTCTGGAGCAGGCGGTAGTGTGGCAGCCGGTACGATGAAGCGTGGAATCCAAGCATGGAGGGAGGGGGTGACGCAGCAGTGCAGCTCATGGTGAAGGCAAGAACCCATCGCGATGTCCGGAGGAGAGCCGAGGTGACCATGTCACTGTCGCCAGGAATCGTTTGCTTCCCCCGCACGGTGTTACAGATCAAGAGAAGTCACTAGCGATTTTTGAATCCAAGTAAATTGGCATGGCTACTTTGGACTACTGTAACATGGGAGCAATTCTATTCAATGGCCTTTAATACATTGCATTTACATAGCACCTTTCATCCCAGGGTTTAAGTGCTTTAACGGAAGTGGGTACTGTACACCCATTAGCACGGGGGAAACCGAGGCACAGAGTGGTTAAGTGACTTGCCTTACGTCACTCGGCAGAACCGTGGCAGAGTCTGGACAGCCTTAAACCTCCTGACTCCATCAGTTGGTTAGACCACGCTGCTGCCTCAAATGAAGCCACTCCGGCCCCTGCCCTCCCCAGCAACGTGCTCCTACCAATTCTCCAGTGAGGTCTCACACTCCTTTCTGATGCACAAATATATGACAACAACAACAAAAAGAAAAGTGCAGTAAACTAAATGTTTAAAAAAAAAGCACATTTGTGCTGTCTCTGTGCAAAGATAAAAGAAATAAATACATGATTAAAAAATTAAAAAGGTTCACAGTATCACACATGGATAGGTAGCTACGGTAGTGCACGTCTGGAAAACACTGTGTTACTACCCAGGATTCTCTACACCCAGCTGGATGTCTCCGTTGGTAGCTGCGGGTGAGTGGGTGGTTTCTTTGCTGCCCATGTCTGGGATAAGTAGAAATACACGGTTATAGTTTTGCTCCGTTCTGAAATGCAGTGCCTGGGATCCTGCAGTGCAGCAATACTGGTGTCAGCAAGCTCTTCCCCATCCCACTGGAACGGCTGCATCAACGAAAAGGGAACACATCGACCTGCAGAGGGAATCACTGCTCTCTGGGGCTTCTGTGTCTGCATAGAGATTACTGCAAGAGGCAGAGAAAACAGAGTCAATACCCAAGCATCTGCCTTGCGTTCAGTTAGGTCTGAGCCCAGCCAACTCCCCAGAGTCAAAACGAGCGTGAAGAGAGAAGCCTGTTTGTTTTGCATCCTCCAGTAACGACAACATGACTGGAGAACTTCAGCTCCCCAAAGCTTTCACTGCACCAAATGATTTGGAACAAGCCACAACCCTTGCTGAGCAGACCGGGTCTCTGCCAGCACAGGAGATCTCGTCTGCTGCCACAGAGCTGATCTGAGATGCAGCAGGGCTCTGCCGCAGCCATGCAAGAGCCCCTTGCTGCACAGAGGCCACAGCAGCTCCCTCTGCAAGCTGACCTTGCAGGGGGAGCACAAGCTCCGACCTCAACCCACCGGGCACCCGGCACACGTTCTTGTACACTTACTGTATCGCTCTCCTCATCGGAGACAGAGTGGAGTTGAGCGCTATAGTGGAGCGGGGAGTAAACCCAACTCCTCTCGTCTGTCGGCTGCCAGAGTGGACAGAGACGGCGGGGAGAATGCAAGGAGAGCAGCAGCAGAGCAGGGAGCAAAGGAGAGAAGAGGAAAAAATAAAAGGAGAAAATAAAAAGAGTAGGAAACAATACAGTAAGAACAGCTGTCTGCCTGGAGGGAGAGAACCGAGCTCAGCGGCAGGTCTCGGCAGAGGAGCCCTTCCTCATCCTCGGTACATACCTGCTCCCTACCAGCTGGGACATGGGGCAGCCCGCCAGCAGCTGACATTGGACCCTGCTCCAGCTGCAGTGGGGATGGCACAACCTCTTCTCTTGCAGGGACAGATTTTTTTAGAGCTTTTGAGATGCCAGGGAAACCTCAGCTCCCTGCGACAGCATCACCCCGGCTCCAGAGAAACCGAGAGACAGGGGCAGTGACTTACCTAAGGGTAGTGACAGCACGCTCTGTTCCTGCTCCCCACTCCCAGCTCTCAACCCCATCTCCCAAGCCCTGTGCATGCTACAAGCTGGCACCTCTGGTGTCCAGGAGGGCTTTTACAGCAAAACCTGATCTGGTTTGCCGTGCCTTCCCCTTCCCTGCAGGCCAAGCAAGGCAGCAGATGGGTGGGTTAGGCCATGGTGGATGGTGGCCACAGAAAGGAAACAGTTATCGCCTAGAGTCTTGGAGACAGTGGGGTGATGGGAACAAGTACAACAAGGAAGGCAAAACACAACTGGATCTTCGAAAGAATGGGAAGCAGACATGCATTGAGGGAGCCGGTTATCACAGCACTGGGCACCAGTGTGACAAAACACACTTCTGCTGCTGACACCGCACAGAGAAGCCCAGGCAGATTCAAGGGCTGGTGTCTGCTTCCAGTGTTCCCGGGGGGGGCCCCACTTCCACTGCAAATAGGCTCTTTTGGCTCCAGAGGCGCTCCCAGACAGGGGAGACTGTCCCCTTTGACTCAGCCTGCGGTTTGCAAAGGAAGAGAAATGGAACTGGATACTTGGAAGAAGCCTGCGAGGGTTCCCAGCCCAGGAACCAAGTGTAACAGTCTACAATGTAAAAGAAACTACAAAAAGCCAGAGGAGCTTTGAAGCACTGGGCTCTGCATGATGAAACCCATCAATAATTGCAGCTACATTAGCAGAGACCGCTGTCAGGAAGGAAGAGAAACCCTTGCCTGGAGCTTCTTACAGGGCTCTGCTAGAGGTGCAGGAAAGCTCAATGCTGCATAAAGCCTGCCCCACATCCTGTTTTTCAACCATCATGACTGAACCACATGCTCCAGCCAGCCTCTTTCAGAGCCTTTTAGGAGCTCAGACGCATGCAGGGAGCGGAGATAAAGGAGCATCCGGTGCTTGGTATTAACCCGCCCGGTGCTGGGGCAGCGAAACCCAGCCAAGGGGGCAGGAGGAGCTGCCGGGACAGGTTGCCCGTTTGCCCACGTAGGTGCAGCACTTTCCTCATGCCATCAGCCGAGGCCAGGAGGATGTTAGAGCCCCTGCTTCCCCATGCACCCTGCCTGACACCCTCTCCACTGCTCCCTTGCCTGGTAAAGGCAGGTGCTGGGAGGACCACGCTACACAAATGCTTGTGCCAAGGTTCTGACAGCACTGCCATTACCCTCTGAGGACATGAGCTCTCCCAAAGCCTGAGAAGGGAAATACTAAAACCCAGAGCAGTCTGAGCTCTGGATTCAGCCCCTAAATGCTCAACTGCTTCCCTACATCTTTCAGAAAGAAAAGGAAAACCCTCACTGCTCACAGAAAACCTGCAGCGAGGAGGGAGCACATCAGTGATGTTGAGAAGGGCTGGAGAGCAGAAACCATCCCTAACCCCACAGCAATTCCTAAGCCATTTGGCTTTGAGTTGCTCACTGTCCCAGCCACAAGCCTAAAAACTTATATTTGCAACTGGATTTTTTGCAGCTTCAAAACATCTTAATGGTCTCTTTAGAACCCCATCTAGCTTCCTGGGCCAAGGGAGCCGAGCCTAATATTACCTACAAAGGCTCAGGTGCCTCTCTGTCCAGGTCTGGTGCTGGCAAGTTTGTCCAAGGGTGGGGTGACACTGCAGCCCACGCCACGGCACAGCTGTGTCACCAGCCTGCAGAAAAACAGGGCAGAGCATGCGTTTCTGCAAGATCCTACAGGGAGATCCATTTGTGTGATTTTGATATGCTTCCCTGGTTTCTAATGGCCACACAATACAGAGCCACAGCATCCAAGGGAAATGGAGTGCTGGCCCCAGTGTTTCAAAGCTGCAGCTCTGCTCCCTTATGTGCTAGCATGTTCACTTACAATCCCAGAGGAAAGCGAGGTGGTTCGGAGTCTGCGCTGGCGGGGAGAGTAAATCCAGTACCTCCCATCTGTGAACTGGATGGCCCCAGTGCAAGTGAAGTGAGAAAGGAAACAGAGGAAAAAAGGATGACATGAAAGACAGGATGAAAGAGAAAGCAAAAAACAAGAGGTTGGGCAACTCTGGGCCTGAACGGATCAGCAGGCAGGAAAGCCGTGCGTGGGAACAGCAGCACCCATGCCCTGCCACATTCTCTGCACTTTTATTCCCCTGGGGGTAAACAGGAGGATAAAGTGGAGAGCACTTTCAGGAGCAGATGTCTAAAGATCAGATCAGTCTCCTGGGAGTTGACAAATCATCCTCTGCACACAGCATCCCTTCACTGACCATCACCCCCTGGAGCACTCCGGCAACAGAGCAGCTGTGGTCCAAGCCCGCTGCACTCCGGTGCAGCCTCACTTGAGCTCCAGCTCAAGTGGTTTTCCAATGAGAGTGCCCGTGGGAACCCAAATCAGCTTTTCCCTTCATCCCAGCAGTGACAAACACTCCACAGCACACGACACACATTTAATGCAAAACTCAAGGACTTAGATGAAGTAAGAAATGCTGATGAGCAGTCAGTCACAGTCTCGGTAAGCACACACTGCACACAGATGGTTTCCTCCGGATAGAGAGCTGCCCCTCAAGTTGGGGGGAGTCCATATGTGCAGGGACAGGGAGGAAGAGGAGCTGACCCTTGCCAGAAGACACTTGCCAGTGGAGCAGGCAGTATCTGCAGGCAGCTTGCACACAGCTGCCATCCACAGGCAAAGAAAGAGCAGCCAGTGTTAGAGGGAGCTGTTTGCATTTTGAACAGCATGCATAAAAACCCAAACAGACAAGCTTTTAAAATGGAGCTGATTCCTTCCACCGCTCCCACGAGCCTCAGAATGACTCTGCAACGAGTGAGCAGCTCTGCAGGAGAGTCACGCAAGCACAGGGAAAGGCAAATGTTGCCATTTTTAGGTTAGCCTGAAGGAGCTTATCACGGGGGCTCAGCTCATCTCCATTGCCATATAAGCGACAGCAATGAGTCGGAGCAGGGAGGAGTTGGGCACCTCTTTTAATGAGAAGGTTCCAGTGCCCAGGCATGGGGGAGAGCTCTCACGGGTCAGATCCTCAGCTCTGCTCTGGGAATCCATGGGGCAGGTACATGTTGCTAAAAAACTCTTCCCTGTTCTGCAGAAGCTGCCCAGACCTTGCGAGAGCTGACCAAGGAACACAGTGCCAGGCTCCACGGCACTCTGCTGCCAACCAGCAACCACCTCACTTACTCCCTGTCTCAGCACTAGATTTTCACTGCATCACCTAATGCATCTGCCTGCAGGGAAAGGAAAAGCCAGAGTTCACCAGAGCCCGAGGTCACCCCTGCTGCAACCACCTCCCTTCTGGCTCCAGGCCACTGTGGCACATTTGTGTTCAGGAAAGCAGCCAGGTGCTCTGGCTGAGGAAAGAACCACCTCTCAGTTGCATCTACATTCACCTTGGCTTGTCCTGGGAGTGAACACACTGGCCTAGATAAGCCCTTCAACACTTGTGCTTGGAAGTAGAGCAGCACACCTACAGCTACATCCACAGCAGCAGTGCCACCCATCTGAGCCCCACTAGATGCTGGTTTGAGTTCTCCAAGGGTTAATCCAGTTCCCTGCATTCAAAGACCCATCCAGCGTTAAGATCTCAAGGTGCTCAACACGAAGATGGCACGGGGCAGACACTGCCCTGCACCCGACTGCCTGAAATCGAGACTATTACAGCCTCATCCAACCTTTCCCATCACACCCTAATGGGCCAGGTGAAGGTGTCTTACAAAGTATATGTCTGTGACTGGCACGTCATCTTCATCCGAGGCCTGGCTGGCTGGTTCGGAGGCCTGGCTGGCTGTCTCCACCTCTATTGTAGCTGTGGATGTTACGATGGCACAGGCTGAAGAAGCCGCCTCTCTGGAGGGGGAAGAAATGAGAAGAGTCTAGTCACTGCGATCAGAAAAGGAGCAAGACTGTATGATTTATTACAGAGGAGCTGAAGACGCTCCACTGTCACATCCAGAAAGATCAGGTCAGGCCAGAAGTAACAGTGCTCAGCTTCACTGTCTGGGGGAGCACCTCTCTCTCCAGGAAAGCTGGTGCCTTACAAATTCAGCCTCCAGCACAAGTTGCCACAGACCAAGTGACACCAGGCAGGGCAATGCAAAGCTGCCCAATGCTCTGAAACACTCACTCTTTGTCATCTTCTTCGGGAGCTACAATCTCCACGTCACACTTGGGCTCCAGCTCGACACTGATCTGCTGAAGCTCCTCCTCAACCCGCACCTCCTCGTGTGACCTGGAAACCAAAGACAGACAGGCCCAAAGGCTTGGTTGGGCACTATTTATGCACAGTCCTCAATTTTAGGTCAGCCTCAATCAGTCCTGAGTCAGCCCAGCCTCTCACACCGCAACCTCCCACAGGAGCGAGCTGCGCTGGTCTGCCCCAGCACATGGCTGCCTGCTGCCAGCCACTCGCAGCACCGAGCTCCTGGCACGGACCAAGCTGTTGCTTTTGGCTCAGAGGGAGCTGTCAGACCTCCCAGAACGGAGGATTTGGATAACCAAAACTCCCAGGCAAAAGAGTCAGTCCTGTCAGATTGCAGTGCTCAAGGCTAACAAGGTAGGAAAAGAGGACAAGAGGAAAGGGATTAATTAGCCAGTGCTGCAGAAAAGACAGGCAGTGTCAAATGGAGTACAGGAGGGAAGAGGAGAATTGGCCTCCAGGGAAAACCTGTGTCCAGAGTTAGCCTGGCATTATCTATCAACCACACACGGGCCAAAGCCTCCAACCTTTTCCGAGGCTCCCAGCACACCAAAGCTGCTCAAATGCACTCCAGGGTTAACATCAGATTTATCTGCACGCTCAGGAGCTGTTTGTGACAGTCTTCAATTTAATACCTCATGCTACTAAAGTAATTGCTTGTGCTAGTGGGGCTGGCTCCATAGTCCTCATGGGAAGGAGGAGCAGGCGCTTGCCAAGCCGAGGACACAGTCTTGGGGAAGGGATGAGCTCCGGCTTCACGGGCAGCGTCGTCCTGCTCTGCGCTGCCCTGGCTGGGGGCCAGAGCCAGCAGGCGGCACTCCTGCCCAGCTCGGTGCAGGGAACTGCTCCTCTCCTCCTGGCAGGGCTGGGTCTCAGAAACCCAGAGGGAATTCCTCAGCAGATTAGAATAATCAGAGGTGTGACATGTTCTTGAGCAAACTGGATAAGGTATTTTTCATTTCAGCTCAGGAATGTAAATGCATGCTTTAATAGCTTTGTTCTTGCACTGGCTTTCACCAGGGGATCACAGAGTGCTCTACAAATACACAGGTCCCTGCTCCCCTAGAAAGGGCACACTGAGACACCACCACCAGAAATGGAAAAATTAGGCAAAAAACAGCAAAGAAGGCCACACTTGTGTGGGGTGGTTGTAACTGTGGCAAATCTGTGACAGACAGATCTACTTCTGACCAAGACGCTAAGCTCCCTGTATGGTCCAGGGACAGTCACTTCAATTCACCTGACCTATTTCTGGATGAGTAGTCACATCCCACAGCAACTCCCTCCATTAGGTACCAATGGAATCCGGAGTAACTCGGGCAAAGTCACTGCATTTGCCAAATGGGTCCCCACCACTGGTTGCCCGAGTTTAAGTCTCCAATTTTCAGCAATTTCAGACAATAAATTCTGCAGGAGGTGAGGTGCTTCGCAGGTCCCTGACACTTCAACAGGAGCTGCAAATCAACAGCAAGTAGGTCCTCACCCTCCAGTGACAGGAATTTACCAAGATTCAGCGACATGCAGCATCCAGAGGTACTTTCATTAAGAAATACCAGGGAAAGGGATTTTTTCACAGTGTATGTGGTCTGAAGCTCAGCAAATCACTAAAAGCCAGGAACAAGTGGAGATGCCTGTAAGATGGTGGAAACCCTCATCTTCCAAAGTCCTTGTCTTCCTCTGAAGCACCAGACACTGACTGCAGGGAGAGAGGACATCAGCCTGTCCAGCAGCTCCTCTGGCTAACGGCATATCCCAAGACTGAGTCTCTGACACGCATTTCAAAGTCTGTGCCTGCAACACTTACAAGATGTCTCGGAAAGCTAGGGCAGAGTCAGCAGCAAACACGGCTCCTCACGCAGATCCCGCTGACACAGGCAATGGGGTCATTTTTACTGGTGCAAAAATACGCAAGATAATTATATGATGTGAGCCTCTAAATCCAGACATCCCTATGCAGTAGGGGATTTTTGTCCTACCTTGCCCTTGGCTCTGAGCCACCTATCACCACAGGAGGGAAAAAAATAAAACGCTCAAAGTACCCAAGTTTCTGAAAACACTGGAAGCTACTTCTCTGGGGACTAAGGGTGCTCAGTACCTCACAAAGTAAAAGCCCTTTCCCATAGGCACACCCACCGCACCCAGGCAGCGGGCAGATGCACGGAGGAGGAATGTTCCTGCTGTTAAGGCTCGCTTACCCAGTGGGGGACATAAATGACCCTCCTTGATTCTGGTGATGGTTAGGTGGGTAAATTTGGACAACTTGGTTATCCCCTTTCCCATCAAATAACAGGGGTAATATTTCAGGTTCCTTGCAAAGCACCGAGAGGTCTGCTTGTAAGGAAAATTCTGCATATGAAATAGGGATCAACTGATTGCAGGAAGAAGCTCATCATCCTGCAGAGGACCATGCCAAAATCTTGGGGCCGCTGAGATTCACATTCAGCCCTCCAAGAGACCTTTGCACAGGGACAAACGCGAGGTCTCTGTGCAGCAGTGCAAGAAGAGATGACACTTTTCTCACCTGCCATCCTGCCCTGAGGAGTGTGTGCGCCTCCTGCAGAAAGAAACCAGAACAGTAGAGTTTGAGGGGTTATTTAAGACAGAAATCCTACACTGCCCCCACCCCATGAGAGAGACGTTCTACTTAACAGCTGACACTTCTCCCAGCAATAATTAATCCCATCAAAGCTGTGTCTGCTTGCTCCCAGGAGAGATTTAATTAAAATTGGTCATTAGCATTCCAGAGCACAGGGCAGCCTGCTGAGATCTGCAGCACAAAGAGGAACGGCAGCCACTTGACTCCAGTGGGAGCAGGGGATGAGTGCTGTCCTCACCTGTACCTGGGCTGCTCGGAGGTCTCCGAAGGGGATCGCTCAGGAACAGAGAGAGATGTTGAAGATAGTGTTGTGGCTATGGAGGCTGTGGTAGCTTCTTCAAAGGAAGGAGGTGTGCAGGGTAGCAGGTCTGGCCTGCCTGCTGGCCCGGAGGAAGGGCAGGAGAGGTGCAGGAAGAAAAAGATGAGTAGGTCAAACACCAACACCTTACCTACACCAGCCCTGTGTGAAGCTGTTCCACCATCAACCTGCACACCCTCACTGGGACTGGTCACTTAAAATCACAAACGGGCAAGAAGTTTAGCTGGCTGTATGAACACAACAGCTTCTCCCAAGGCACCCTCTAGACAGAGCCAGTAAGCACCATTTCCAACATCACAGACAGACACTACAGGAAACATAATGCCAATGAAGACATCTCACTGGTAACCAAAGCTGGATTAAAGGCTTGGATCACCAGAGATAAGTACCCAAGTGAATTAAGAGATGAATTGAGTGCTTGCTGCTTTGCATGGGTAAAAATCTAACACCTGCGGACTCACAGAGCCTGTCCTTCACCACTCATCTGTAAATCCAGCCCAGATGGAACTGATGAAAAGCCAGCACAGAACCAGGCCATTCATCCTTTTTTCAATGGCAAGATCTTGCCCCTTATTAAGGACAGTGTTTGGACAGTTGAGTACTGCAGTTCCCAGTTTCCCCCCCTGCTCTTTTGTTTTTTTAAAAGGGTGGAAAATTCAACTTTCTGATCGCTTTTGGGCTATGACTGCTGGTGCCAGTTGTCAACGGCTACCTTGCAGCAGTGATGCAAAGCAACCATTTTTACTGCAGAACCATACAGTGCTGCAAAGAAGGGATTTGGTCTTCTTCGATGCAGAGGCGTTGCCTCCCCAATCAACTAACCACTGGTGCTGCGACAAAACAATATACTTTTACCTTCTCCCCTGTCCTGGTTAAGTTTAGCACCTGCAAAGCACAGCAAGACATGCAATGAAGAGCTATCCATCAAGGAAGACATGTGGTCGGTGCACAGTGGGGAACTTGACGAGAACAGGGGAGGATCCTAAGGAACTGCTAGGAAAGAGGGTAATCACACAGCCAGCAGACACCAAACGAGACCATTACCTTCATCATCAAGTGTGGGGTAACTCCTGGCTGCACGAAGATCATACTGTGTTTCGTCCTTTTCAGATGGAAGCTGGCTGGCTGAAAATGCAGCTGTTGGACCGGCTGTCTTGACAGCTAGCAAGGCACTACGCCCTTTCTTTGAGGGAGATGACTTCAGAGCTGGATGAGAAGAGTGAAAGAGAAGACAAAATTATCACCACCAACTACTGTCACACCAAAGGCACTTTTCCCTTCATATGGAGAGGCCTCTGCCCTCTGACACACCCACTCTCTAAGTGCCATCTCCAAAGACTGAGCCTGAGTCAGGCTGCAGGGAGAGCTCCTGGGTGGGAGTCTGAGCAGACCAAAGCAAGCCGCAACAACCTGGAGGCTTTGCAGTTCCCCAGCTTTGCTCTATATTACAGTGGAAAAGCCTGCTCAGACTCCGGCCAGAAACTCTCCATGTGGACTGAAGCAGCAAGACTGAGATAAGGCTTGCTTCACATCACAAGGGCAATAGCTCTTGGACTAGGTACTTACAGGAATTCTTTCGAAACACCGTGTTGGTCATGAATTTGAAGAATCTCTCTGCATAAAAGCTGGGTCTGTGTACTGACACTGTGTCCTACAAAGGCAAGAAGCAACTGTTTAATTTTAAAATTATTCCTCAAGGCAGAACTTCTGTAACAACCAATGCAGTCTTTTTTACTCCAACATTTAGCACCGATAGAGCCTTAAAATGGAAAGGCTTAACTGAAACGATCTGATTAATGCTATAAATAAGCCTGAAGCATTGCCTTTGATTTGATTGCATTTGATTATATTCTTGCTGTAATTTTATAATGGATTTTGGTGATTTTATTCCTTTGTAGACTTCCTGGGTTTTTCAAATATTGACCTGACGACATACATGAAATTTCTTCTGGCTTTGCTGGCTGACGTTCAAAGCACACCTGCATACCTTTGCGTATGACATGGACACCAAAATTCAGCCAAAGGTCTCTATACTTTTCAAATGTTTTGCACTTTTTGTTTAAAATAGTAAAACTGAAGCTGTGTCTGCTTCTGATGTTCAACTGTGCTACTATGAACTTGGCATCTACACGTTTCCTTTGCCTTATTATTTAAGGGAAGCTAGGATATGCAATGCTGAAAAATAGTTTCCACATCCAAGATTGCTCTTTTGTAAACATGCACCTGGCTGCTGCAGGAGACAAGACAGCAGGGAAACACTGAAAGGGATTTATTAACAGATAGCTTACTGAAGTGGAAACACAGTCAATCACCAAAGAGAGCAAACACAGGGCTCCAACACATACATGAATATGCGTACAGCTCCTGGTATCATGGAGAGGATGAAAATGACAGATGGGAGCAGAGGAGGAAAGCTGGTAGCACAACAGCCAAACATGCGAGGAGGTGGAGCAAGCAAGAAAAATCTTACTGGGAATAAGTGGCACTACACCACTGTGGAGGCATAAGAGGCAAGAACTATTCCTTTCATCAGCTTCAACTGTGCCGGTTCAGGCACTATAAATAGCAAGGTAATCGGCACCAACTAGCATAAATGAAGCTAAGGCAGGTAATCCTGATGAGACCTGGACGATTCCTGCCTCTGTACGGGCACTCACCCCATCATGGACAAGGGCCTTCCAGGTATGTTCTAGCTTCTTGATGAACCTAATTCCAGGGGAGAAGTGGAGAGAAAAAGAGAGACACAGATTCAGGCACGTACTTTATATCTAAGCCACCTTTCGTACCCCACACAGGAGAGATCACCGAGCTGCTAACAATTCCTCCTTCATCTGGAGTGCAGCTTTCCTCCAGCCAAGAGAGGTCAGCTGAGCACACTGGCATCTCTGCAGTCAGGTCAGGACTGCCTGGGAACCCTACAGGGAAGGAGGAGCTGGGCTGGAAGACGGGCAGTAAATCACCTTCCATCCCTGGAGATACGCTACCCATCCTAGGCACAGAGACGGGAATCTTCTTTACGAGCAACTCATTATATCTTAGAAAAATGGCTCTGTGTCACCAGCTGTTCTAAGGACAGGATAAAAATCCACAGCCCCCAACATGCATCGACAGACAGCTTTAGGCAGCCTGCCTACTCATTAACAAACTCTTCAGGAGAGGAAAATCTTCCTGATTTCATTCAGTATTAAAATAGATGTTAACACGCTTAAAGGACAGACAACTGCAAAGTTACCTACCTGTATGATTGAAGGATATCTATTATTCCTACATGTAGCAGGAGACGCTCTCCTTTGCCATTCACTGCTGGGATTCCTCCCATCCTGTAGGTAAAACAAAACCTCAGCAAGCGCAGCCTCAAAAAGAGCAGCTGTAATAACCCTGAGACCTGCGGAAGGGTGGACGGCAGCACTGAAAAGAGGGCTCTGATGCGGTGGTCAGATACAACACAAAACCTGTGAAGTCACTTTGTGCACAACCATGGGAAGTCACCTACTGACCTAGGCCATCTCACACGAGGTGTCCCCAGGGTTACTGCCTGCCTGGATCGCCAAATACCAACTATCAGGACAGGACCTGCGTCGCGTGGCAACAGCTCTGCCTGGGCCAGAAAGCATCACATCGTTTTTTCTTAGCTACAGGACATTTTATTCTGGGGATCAGATTATTTTCAGGTCAGTGTGAGCTGTCTGCCTATTAGGACAGCAAACCTTTAAGGACGAGGGTATTTCTGGTCCCATCCACACTAATATCAGTCCTGCCAAAGGTGCAGCAACCACAGACACCAGCACACAACAAAAGCATGCAGGTATCAGGCAGGCCACTACAGTTAATGCTGCTACTTGAAAGAATGGAAACACCAAAGTATTATCCCAGCTCCACCATGACTGATCCTCCATCAAAACAGGAGCAGGCGGTTTCAGACAGCAACAAACAGCAAACTCCATGATTTTTTAGCAAGCTTGGCCCACAGAGCCAGAGAAACAAAGTCACAAGAGCCACCTGCAGCCCAAGAGCCGCAGATCGGGCACAGCACAGGACAGGTTTTGGGCAACCCCCTCCAACCCACAGGTCCACCAGTGACTCCAACACTTGGCTACATTGGTGTTTGCTAACCACACTGGGATGATCTCGGGGTACTGTCAGGGATTCCACAGATGGGGTGATGGAGAACAAACTCCAAGCTCCTAGGGACAGGCTGATCCCTACTTCCACTCTAGTATTTGGATGCTGAGCTAGAACTGAGCTAGTTTCTCCTCCTCAGAGCATGGGTGTGTGTTTAGAGGCTGTTACAGGAGCTGACAACCTACAGACTGGCCTAAGAAGAGAGATCATTGTGAGGCTGGAGTCTTACAGAAATATTTCCTACCCCAGCTTCCCCCTTTCGCACCGCATTGCTTCACTGGCAGCCGTGCCATAACCCCCAGGAGAGCTGCTCACTCTAACAGTTCATGTGGCCCTCAGGTAGGGATCTACTACTCCAGCCTCCACCTCTGCCCCTCCCAGCAGCCCAAGAGAACCAGGTTTTCACCTACGTGTCGTCTGTGTCTATGGACTCCCCCCGGGCAGCCCCACCCTGGATGGACTCCATGGCCGTGGAGTAAAGTGCCTTCTGCCCCACAGGACGCTTCTCATCCGACGTGCTGTGGGCTCCCTCAGACTGTCGCTCACGCTCTTGCTGGTCTATGTTATGAACCCCAAGCAGGAGGCTGTAGTCCATGATTTTAAAACTTTCCAACACCTACAGATTAGTATTGAGTTTAAGAACAAAGACAAAATATCAGGCCAGCAGCTCAAATACAGCACAGATCCCAAAGCATGGAACAGCCTGTCCATATTCCCACTAACAACTCCTTTGCCAGAGCTTGAACATTTCTGAACAGTCATCTCTGGACTTGATCGCATAAGGTATGGCCATCCCACAATCAACCCAAAGGGCTGAAGGCTTGCAAATAACACTGTTATACCATGTTTCTGCTGCACACTGTATAGGAAAAAGGTATTTAGTCCCAACAGCCCAGCTACAAGTGGAGCAGGATGCCACAGTTTGAGGCACCGGGCAAAGGAATGCAGCCTTAGTCCTCACAGGCTGTCGTGAGATCCAACTCCACTGCTTTTCTTTCAGGGAAAAGGGCAGTAAAAGGGATTTATCCTGCTTTGGGGTTAGCACATTAGCAAGGTTCTCAATCATTTGCTCTTCCTCATGCTTGGGAGCCACAGAATTTCATTAACTTGCTCCCCAAGCTACACACCCCCCCTTACCAGACAGTCTCGTTGCAACGTTTTCACCAATGCACTGAAGGTGTCTGCATCCAACATCAGGCCCTCGGGCATGTCTTGTATGAAGTCTAGATCCTTGTATGTAGGGCTGGACTTTTCTTTTTCCTTCTTGGATGCCCGGCGTTTATAGGTTGAGCCTTTCAGGTCAAATTTCAGGTGCATTTTCACCACGCGAGGCAGAATGTTGTTCATCACGACCACGCGGATGTTTTTGCCTCCTGATTGCACACAGTACAGTCCATAAAACTTCGGCAGCAGTGTCCGTGGGTTCTGGTTCAGATTCTACGGTGGGGTTGGAAAAAAAGCATGGGAAAAGGTAATTTTGGCAGAAGACTCTTGCTGTGTTCAACACAAAGCATGTTAACAGATCTTGGAGCAGTCAGACTAGGGCTTCTTCACCTAGACATTTTCTGAACTTTACATGAGAGCTTACTGTACACGTCTGACAAACTCTTGCATTTCATTGGCTTTAGGACCTGAAAATACCACTATGCCTTGAATACAGGGAATGAGACATACAGCACTCCCTGGGCAAATAACCAAGTCCGGAAATTCCCTGCTTTCCCCATCAACAGCAGCTAAAAACGGTAAAGCAAACTGGAAGGGAAATAAACACAGTAAGTGGGAACTTCAAGTTAAAAAAGAACAGCTATCTTTGTCTCTTCTGAAGTGTCAGAAATCAAGAGCCGTTCTCTGGTCCAGAATAAACTATGGACATGGTATTTTTTTTAAACAAAACAACATCAATTTTCTCCTCTTTTTGCAGAGTTGCTTTATAAAACACAGTTGGCCAGAGAGCACGGATATCCTGCTCTGCTATCATGTCCTTTTTTTAGGCAGCGGTATTATTAGGAATGACATGACAGGCATGATTTGCTTGTTCAGCTTTGGGAAAATTTGGGAAGGAAACAGAACATCTCTGCTTGCTACAAAAGAAAGGGCAGACCTGACAGATTCTCTGACAGACGGCAGAAGCATGACTGTATTAAAATTTCATGCCCCTCCTCATCTCACCTAAATGGCAAACGAGTAAGCCTTCTTTGTTACTGTGCTGTTCAACACGGTGCAAGCGAAAAGCAGAGGCAGGCAAGACCAAATGCAAACAGAACTTGCCCAGCTTTAAAGTAACTCAAGATGAAGCCACTCTGCTTCCTTTCCACTGACTCCTTTTAAACTGCATGGGTTTCTCAAGGACAGCAGAAGAGATCATGTGTTAGCACCACAGTAACCCACAAACGTAAGAACGCTAGAACAAGTAGCGCATAACTCTGCACCAGACAGGTAAGTTCAGTTTAATTCATTACACAGATTGCTAGCCAGGACAACTGCAGAATTCAGGACAACAGTGCAACTCCATTCCCATTCAAAACCCTCCACCTGATTTACTACATACATTAGGCAACAGCCAACACTTTCCAAGAAAGCCCATCCTGTCCAGGAACTTGACTGTCACTTGCAAAAGCAAGCAATTGGCTGTCAGTTATATACAGACACCCAAGACCCTGTCTCACTTTGGCAAATACTCCCCTTGAGCGAGGCAAGTATTTTCATAAAAATAGCGTATGATCACATAAATCAAATCCACTGCAACATGCACGCAGATGGGGCAGCATTAACACTGCTTGCCACCGCCTTCTCCTCGGCATTTCCACGGCAAACAAATCCCTGGGTGGTTCTAACTGAATTTCAGTGCCCTCATCTATAGAGCTGGACCCTTCACCACAGCTAGCCAGGCAAACAGCTCCTGGTTTACACACCAAAGCACTGGGTTTGGTTCCAATTTACTACTTGTCACCACATGTAAGCCCTCTGGGTCTCAATATATTGCCTCGATAGCCCTAAGATTTAGGCAACAGCTATCTGCAGCAGACTGGATGTGCAAAGCTAGCAGGTACCGCAGGAGTCTTTAGCTTGGTACTGCAGCCAGTGGGAGCCAGGACAACCAGCCACTGCCTTCAGAGTAACTCTGTTAAACAGCAGATATGGGAGATATCCAGGGACTGCAGTAGTTTCCCCGCAAAACCAAGGTGGCTGTGTTACTGCAATCAACAGCCATCCTCAAAGCCAGGCTGAGGCAGGTGCACGGTGCCCAACCAAAGAAGAACTAACTAGTGCTGGGAAAAGGACACCCAGAAACACACATCTGGGAAGCCATTTCCAGGCCAGAACACGCCCACAAGCTACAGGCACAATTATCTGCTTCAGGTTTACCCGTGGAGTTTGCAAATAATTGGCAGGATTTGTGCTTCTGGGACTGGCTTCGTGACACACAGTGTTAAAGTTGCCCCGGCACAGGGTGGGCAGGCCACAAGAAACCCAGGTGAGGGACATGCCCTGTGCGATGCCTTGGACAGAAAAGCTGCCACGACGAACCCAAGTCGGGTCCAAGGTGCTGGGTGATACACACCATGTAGTAGCCAGGAAGGAGCTTCTGTAGGAATTCAGCTTCCTTGTGCATCACAGTTTTTATGATGAATTCATCGTCGCTGGTGACATAGAAGAGGGAGCCGCTGGCACCAGGGTTCGACAGCTCTATCAGAGGCTCATTACATAATGAATACTAGGGAGAAAAAGAAAACAAAGATGATGTTTTTAGCCCCCACTCATTGCACATTGAGTTCTACGCCCTTGAGGGCTTTCCCCAGCATGCCGTCTCCCTGTGACATTAAGGGGTAGCAAAGCTTAAGTGAGAACTATTTTCATTGGAGGTTAGGTCTAAGCAGTGGACTACTTAGTGTCCACTAAGCTAGTGGACAATTTACAATTAGAGACCAAGAGTACAGTTCAGAGCATCCCAGCTGCTCAGAATCAAGCTAATAATCTGCTTTCAGTAACATCGAGGCTTCGTAATGACATCTTATCTTTTCCCATTGTGCGTGTACGTGTGCATCACATTTAGGCTCCTTTCAGCACATTACCGCAAGCGCAGATGGAAAGATAGGATTTTAAGAGACATGACAGTCTGCTCAGGGTACCACACATCACCGTGCTGGAGGGAACACAGTGCACTAGCTGTGCTCAGCAGCCTCCTCTGGCCTTGTGCTCCCCTGTTACAGAGGATTTTTACAGCCACATCTCACCCCCTCAATCCTGCTAGAAACACATGAAAAGTATTAGACCAGGTGTCCAAACAAGAAGAGGGGGATCAGCGCTGTGTCAGCACAGCAAGGGGTACTGCATCGGGAACTGAACTGGAAGGACGTTTCTGGACATCAGCATGCAAATAGCAGGTCCTCAGATGAGGACATGCCTAGCAGCAGGAAAGAAAAGGAAGAAAGCGCAAGCACGCACGTGCATTTTGCAGCTAAGTACCAACCCCAAGGTAACTGCGTAGGTCAAGTGGGTTCTGAGCGGGTTCAAGGCAGCATCATGTCAGAGCTGCCACGGCAAGAGGTAAGATGGGGAGAGGGAGGTAGGGTATGTAAGGGACAGAATTAGAGCAATAAATCAAATGCTCATCATTACGTACTGAAAACAGCTTTCAGCACTGCACAGACTAATGATCCAAGACTTTATCAAGTTAATTATCTCATGCATAATTAAAGGCATTTGCTGCTGTGGCAGGCAAGAGAATCAGGGGAAGCAGAAGCAACAAATCAGAGCCGTGACCTTTGCAATTGAGGCAGGCTCTTTGCCCTTTGCCTCACCCAAGTTTTGAGCCACTCATCAAATCAGGCAGCATTATCTTGGATGGCACAGATGGGGACCACTGTTACTGTCAAACCGTGCAATGGCACAGATTTGTTTCTACTTGTAGGTGTTGAGCTATGATTACCCCCGTCTACAGCTGAAGTCAGGAAAAAAAAGGGCTATTAAAAAAGGGGGAGGGCATGCACTTACTTGGACGTGTTCCCTTCCCCGGTTCAACAAATGTCCTTTTCTAAAGAGCAGGACATCACATACATGCAAGGGACCAAATTCAACCCCAGTGTACTCTAAGCTCTGACAGTTTGTACTACTAGGTATTTTAAAAGCAGCCTCTCCAGCTCTGAGTAGCTTTCTGAGCACAAGAACAAGCTGTATTTTATTCTGCCTTTGTAAGATGATTAAAATAACTACACTCACATAGCTCTTGAGTGAGTACACAAGGAAAAATTCCCGTCTTTGTCCTCAGAGCCCCAGGGGACATTACAGGGTCACACCCAGCAGAACACAACTCCTTTTGCTTGTAAACACAGTAAGTTATTGTCACCACAAGCAACAGAGAGGGAACCCCATCACATAGCTTACAGAGCACACACTATATGCAGATCATTTCCTTTCCTTCCAGTGTGAGCTAGCAGCTACCTCTTTGCAAATGAAGACTTGGTTGGGCTGAGTGGTGCTGGTCTTGCTGGGCCTGTCACTGGATCTCCTCCAAAACTGAACAGAGTCCCTAAATCCTCAGCCTGTTCCCACTCCTTGCTGGGATCAGGACGATTCCTCAACTCTTTTCTGTCCCTTTTAGACAAGAATTGCTGACTGCCTTGATTTAGGGACAAGTTTCTTGTGTTACTCTAGACTATCTCAAATAAAGGAGGAAAGACAGAGAAATCCAAAAATCCATCCATACCAAATAATCATCTGGACGAATCCCAAAGAGTTCTCGGAAGTATCGAAAAGCCACTGGTGCATAGGTCTTGAACCTGAAGTCAGCATAATGGTGAGCCGGGGTGAGATTACTGCCTTCGCTGCACAGAACAGACATCACATGAGCAGGGCCTCTGTATTACCATTAGCCAGATATGTATAGTCACATGAAGGCTACTGTACATTTAAGGATGAATTGAGTGAGCCTTGCAAAGAGACATCACAGGAACAACAACAACAAGAAATACCTTTCTTCTGTGGCAGGACAAGAAGAAAATAGGTTTTAAATTATCTGCCAAAATCTATTTCCAAAGAGTACAAGGAACAACCACGGGCCAAGCAGAATATATTTACACAGAGAATACAGCTTTCATGAGCTTTGTTTATTCACAGAGTTAAATTGCTCCCAGAATGGGTTTCTTCCATCTCAAACATGGTATAATCCGTGGAAGAAATTCTAGACAGACAGGTAGGAAGAAAAGCACGTAGGAAGGCTAACAAACTCAAGCATATAGTACTGCATCTTGCATTTACGTCCTTGCAAGCCAGTGTACTGCAGAATCTAACACTTCCCACTGTTACGTTTGTATCCAATGGGTGCATATTAAAAACATTCAGAGCATCCAACTCTGATCTGAAGACAGATGGACGCTCTCTTGAAAAATCAGTGAGAGGAAAAGAAGTAACTCATCTGTTCGTTTTGTTTCCCCTGTCTCCTTTACCTTGGGAAAAAAATGCTCTCCACCACGTAGAAGTCCTGCATCAGGACATCTCTCTCTGGCTTGGAGCTCAGATTGCCAACGGTATATCCAATCCCTAGCTGGATGGCCCCCTTCAGAGTGGATGAGGTGGTCTGGCAGAAAGAAAAGAGCAGTCAGTGAGCATTTCACAGCAGATTATTGTAATAACATCCCCTATATTACAATACAGTTGTGTCTGACTTCTATGGTGTCATCTCGGGCGCTACATGCTGCTAAACAAGTTCAACCAGCTGCTGAAGAGATGGATTAAGGTTTCCAGAAGGTTTGCTGTTTGCAAGATTATGCACTACAAGGGTGCTGCATAAAATCTAAATCAGATTGGTAGCTATTAACAAATGGAACCAGGAAAGCTCAGCTGTGCCATTGCTAACCTTGGGCCCCAACTTCTCTTCTCAGCCTGCCACCTACACGTAACTGCCAGTCCCCACTCCACAAAACCAAACCTTTTTGTAGGTGGTTTCACCAGAAGCATCAACGCCTCGATGACCTATCTTCTTTGCTTGGCCAGGCTGTCCTGGTAGTGATGGTCCCTGCAACGAAAGAGCATGGCTAAAGCCCAGAACAGCAGCTGACCTGGCCAACAAGAACAAGGAGAGCAACACAGGCACAACCACGCTATCACAGTTGTAGAGGACAGAGGGATCGCTCTCTACCACTGGAGAAAGATCTGCAGAGTGCAAACAGGTATAATTGGCACCAGCAAGCCTTAAACAAGGCTGTTTGAATTATACATCCATCCCTCAAGATAAGAAGAGTTAGAATACCCAACCACTCCATCTGACACCCTCAGTACTAACTGGGCAGAGCTTTCAGCAAAGATGCTGAGCCCTGGAAAGATCCGCTTGCTTCCCAGCTGCCAAGATTCCGCAGCAGTTGCTTGACTGCTTTCTCATTGATTTAAAATAGTGATGTATTGAATCAAACAGTGAGAGAAGTCTATTCTTAAAAATCCCATGCCTTCAGGTGTCATACCAATGCCTTGCGCTTCACTGGAGAAATAAGAGACAGATAACAGGGACAACACAACCCTACTCCTGCGTTCACATGGAGATAATCCATTTAAGCAAAATCTCCTTTGTTTACAATTCAAAGGACGAGCCCACACAGGGTGACTGCACTAACAGCTCTTCCTCAAGTTTTGCAGAGTTTACAGAAACACTACAGGACTGCCAGGACTTCAGAGCAAGAACAAACCTACTCCTATCCCATCTTCCTCCTCTTCTACCTCTGAGTCTGCCTGGGCCTTTTTTTGCTGATCCAGGAGGGAGCAGATTGTGGCTGTACCTTTTAACAAGCCAACACAATCATGTTTGTGAAGTTCGACAGAGCTCCTTTTGCAACCCCAAGCACAGGGCCTCTATACTCTGCCACAGGGCAACATTTCACCTACTCCCCAGCTCTCCCGCCACCCCAGCGGATTGCAGAGCAGATGGCTAAAACTGCTGGTGAGCCACCAGCCACATTTGGGGTTTGTTACATTAAAGAACAGCCAGGCTTTGGATGTTCCTTTAAGCAGCGTGCAGAGAGACCCAAGGTCACTTCCCAAGTGACAATACTCTATCACTGTCTCTCTCAAGTGCTGCACAGACCCATCTCTCAGAACTGATGTCTACAGCAGACAATGTATAATTTTGTTCAGACTACAGAAGTTCTTTGTGTTTTAGCTTTTAATCAAGGGCTTGCAGCTATTTCTGGTCAAACTGCTTGTACTTCTGGTACTAAGGAGCAGTCTGATTTCTCCTTCAAAAAAATCTTATTTCCTACTCTGTTTTAACTATTTAGCACAGCCAGAGTTGCTTCCAAGCAGTCGTGATTAGCAGTACAGCTTATCCTTTCCTTGCAGCTTCTAACCAACAAGCTGGATCCTATTACATGCAAGCTCAAGCTGTAGCGTCCTGCCTTGCCACATGGCTCATCATCATCCTCTCAAAGTGATTAACAGACACACGTATTGGTTAAGAGATTGCTATCATATGATAGGCAGTAACAACAGTCTCTTCCACAATCTCTTGTTCTACCTGTGACTGTGCTTCCAGGGCAAGAAAAAGTGGGGTTATTTGAGCATTGAGCAAAGCAATCAACTTTCACAGAAATTGAGCTTCCTACTATGCATATTTCTGGGGAAGCAAAAAGAATCAAGTGTCACATTCCTGGCAGTTTTATGGGAAGATTTTGCTATCCAGGTATGCAAATATTCATTGTCCCAGGTGAGTAATGTAAAAGGGTATGTCAGAAAGTTATATCAAACAAAAAACATTTGAACATGGTGCCCTAAACCAAGAGTGTGGGCTTCAGGGAACAGCTTTCAGGCACAGATCCTCCTACTGGATTCTCTGCTGCTAACTGTGAAGAGTTTTGCTCCAGAAGGTAACAGTGATTCAGCAACCTGCGACCTGGATTATGTGTGAGGGAAGATCAGTCCCTTGAGATGTTCCCCTGTTTTATGGCTTCACAAATTACAGCCTCCTTGACTTGCTCGCGGGAGCAGGTGAGACCCAACACAGAGCCCTGGAGATGTCAAATACACAGATTCTCCATTTATCATCTTCAGGTTCTGGTGTGGAAAGGGTGCCCTCAGCCACATACTCACAGACATCGTGGATCACGCAGCTAAAATCGGCCATGTGGTGGGCATAATCCCTTCACATCCCCTCTGTGACCGGTGATGCCAACACAGGGACTCCAGAGACCTGCCACTAATTTTCTTTCTCCCAAATAACAGATACCAAATTTTCAGTAATCTTAAATGTATTTTGAAATCCAGCTTTGGTCAAAAGTCAGGCAGAAGTGTTTTCGAGCTCTGTGTTCTCATTTCTCAACACAGGATTTTTCAAGGCCAGCTTTACACATCTCACCTCTGTGATGGCTGCCTTCTTCGGTGCCAGACCTGAGGAGAGAAGGGAGGAGCATCAGTAAAAGTAGGGACATCAGAAAAAAACCCCACTGAGAAAATAGCCTAATGCTTGCTCTTTCAAGCAAGCTGGAAAGCCTTTAAAAGCAGCTCAGTTTTCAGTTTCACTAGTGCAGGAGTCTGAAGTTATAGGGGTCACCCAAACAATTTCATATTCAGCAGCAGAGGCACATGTTTTCCTAGCGATAATGTTTCCTAGAGGCTTCAGTAGAGATTGTTCTTGTAAATCCCTGCTGCACTGTAAGTAATAGGCCCACACTACACTGAAGAGTCGGTTACATACAGAAGCCCAGAGAGACACTTATGAGGCTGCTTTCCAGCCACTCAGAAGGCACTTGACAAACTATATTGATAATTTAACCTATTTATAGACTCCAATGTCTAAATATATCGCAAAAATGAATGCATCATTTATCTCTAACTGCCTTTGGGAGAAGCCACCATTACTCCACCACAGTGAACAACGAGAAATTAGGATTTTGCCTAAAGCTTTTAGATATATGGAATTGGAAACACGGGCCCAAACCCTCCTCTAACATGAGGCCACCTTTCCATTTCCTAGCACAAGCCCAAGTTTGCAAGGAGCTCCTTATTTTTAGGCAACAGTGAGAACAGGAGGCTCTTCTGCTGTTGGTCCCATGAGGTGTTCGCTGACCTGCTGAGAGCTCACACTTGGCACCATAAGTTCCAGCCCAGCTGATTCCGGAGAGCCGCCATGAATAAGGATCAGGAGCTGCTTAAGAAGAGCTCCCCACCCCATCCCGGCAGCACAGCGTCCCCTGCAAGGCAGCTCCCCAGCCTCCCCCAACCACCTCTGCATGCAGAGCCCAGTTATTAAGAGAGAAGCCCGCTTGCAAAGAACGCAAACCCAAGCGACAGATTTAAGGCTGTCTGTTTCCAGGTACGAGTCTGCCATTCCCTGCTCCTGTCTGAGGTGTTCCTACAAGCACAGATCATTAAGCAACCTACAGTCCTTTAGCAAGGGCTTAACTCTGCAAGAGACCATCCAGCAGAGCTTGAGACTTTTGACTGTGAAGAAGAAAGGCTCTTCCAAGCCCTCAACTTTTCCCCACTTGAGGGCAATGGGTGGACTACACAACCGCCTGCCAGTGCGCAAATCCTGCGACTCGAGTGATATCTACGCTCGAGCTGGGGCTGTGGTCCCACTCCAGGGGGAGCGGGACACGTCCAGCCCTCCTGGCTGGAAAGCAGGAAAAGCCCCAGAGGATCCCTGCTCACTGCAGGGGGGTTGGGCTAGATGATCTCTCAAGGTCCCTTCCAACCCAAAGCATTCTATGATTCTGTGATCCAGCCCAACACGCTGTTGCTTCAGCATCTTCCCCATTTGGCCAAGGGGGAACTGCAATGGTCTAGGTGGGTAACTGCTCAACCTCCTCAAATACAAGCAGCGATGCTTCAGGGCTTGTTTCAAAAGGAGCCCGAGCAAGAAGTTGGGCATAACAGGAGCGCAGTGCTCTGCAGATGACAACAGCACTAGGAGAGCACACGATTCAGTTATATTTCAGGAAATACTTCAGACACAGGGAAGCAAAAAAACAAACGCAACAAAAACCCTTGGTGGTCACAGAGTAGATGAATTGCTCTCAATCAGAAGCACTGAGGTTACCTCATCGTCCAGTCTCAGCAAACTGGGAATCCCCTGGTGCAAAATGGGTCTTGTCGATGTGGCACTTCGAACCGTCTGCAGTGCAACGCCCCAGCCCTACAGCTTGGCCCATGCTTGCAAAGCCAGAGTGGCACAGGAAGATTCACGTGTTGCTGTTTTGCTTTAAATCGTGCTCTCTAGTGCCCAAGTTTCACATCAGGAATGGAATCACGGGACTGCAGCAAAGGCCTGAAATCCTGTTCCCTCCATGCAAGCCGCATCACACAATCCCATCTCAAACAGGCGGAGGGGGGCGAGCGGAGCAGGAACCCCTCACGGGCGCAGAGCAGCTCCCCTCCATCACCCACCTGGGCTGCGCATCCCTCAGCCAAGGGGCCACTGCCAAGCGCGATGGGTGACGTGAAACCCCGTCATTCCCTCCAGCTCTGCGGGACTGCACCAGCACACAGCTCAGAGGACCACCGCTAGCTCAAACTCCACATCAGCTTTTGTGCTGAAAAACTCTTTGGCCTAAGACAACACAATTTTACGATCACTCAACAAAAAGCCCCACAATTGCCAAGGGAGCAGATGTGGCACTAAGCAAGCATTTGGCTAACGAACTTCCAGGGCACGAGCCGGAGCCACTCAAGACCACAGAGGAACCCAAAGGTGCAAATGCTGCTCCAGGCTGAGCACTGGAAATCGCTGGGAACACAACACGGCTGAGAGGGCCCCTGGGCAGGGAGACTGCACTCTCCCTGCCATGGCCGAGACCGCTCTCCTACCGCACTAATCTCTTTTCTGCACTTTGTCACAATTCCAGAGCAGGAGATTATCTTTAATTTTGTGATAATTACCACAAGCCGCTTTCATTCCCAGCTTTTAAGTGTCTGCTGCTGTACACGTACCGAATGTGGAATCAACACCAACCACCCGCACGAAGGAAAGGTACCAGAGGTGAGGAACTGCAGATCTCTAGTAGAAATGATGCTTCAGGTGGACAACAGCATCACCAGTACTGCCACCCCCCCAAAAAAAGCGCTTTATAAAAATCAACTTGTTTAGGCAGAAAATGGAAAAAAAAACAATCAACTGGCTACTCAGTGCATGGCACTCGGCTGTGCTCATCTCAAACAAGCTGACAGATGGCCTTGCGAAAACTGATTTAACTCCAGCTTCGGGGGTTATACAGCCACAAGAGACAGCACTTGGGTTTGTGGGGAACGGGAGCTCTGCTGTGGGAAGTTTCAATACTTAACAAGCTAACTGAGATAATTCTTACCAGCTTTGCTGCAGCTCAGTGACGGTGTATTCAGAAACGTGATGGGTGGCTCTGGAAGGGGAACCCCGGGATGAAACCCCAGCTTTCTGCCCTGCCTCCAGCTTGCGCCTGGGTTCTGCAGTATGTTTCACGCACGCTTGACCTGCTGCCTTCAGTTCCTCTTCTCATCTCTGCACGGCTTCAAGTCGACCCTATCCCAACGCTCAAGCTCCTCCAGAGCCTCAGAAATGAACGCTTCGGTTGTAGCATTCAGCAATTCGCATCTCTGATTTAACATTTTTTTTTTTCACGTGCCTCTATTCACAGCCACAACCGCCTTGCCCATCCCCGCCACGACGCACACACCCCGCAGGACAGGGATGAATCCACTCCCAGAAACCCTCTGCACATTTACAGTCCGGCGCAGAAGAGGACTCTCGAGTTTTAGCTCTACCACACCAGAGGAGTGTAAGCCTGCGCAAGATGAGATCACCCATCCCTCCTCCGACACGGAATGCTGCATCAGCAAATTGGTGTTCAGACCTTTTCAGGCCCCTCACCCCCATTTACGTATGCCTGATCACTCGCTCCCAGTAAGCGAAGCACAGCGCGGGCTGGCAGAGGGCTCCCGCTCACGAAGGAAACCCTCGTCGTTACCAGCTTCGGCGGCCTCATCGGCGCATCTGAACTCACAAAATAGCGCAGGGTTGGGATCAGAGCAGCTCCCTCAGCTTCTCCAGCCCGCACCCTCTCTAGATGCCGTCATCAGGGAAATGCAAGTGATGTCAGAAGTTAAAAAGTTTAAAAGGAAAAAAAAATCATCAAATCTTTGGGCTTAAAAGCAAACTTCATGAAATCCAGAAAATATTGCCCTTGCTGTCCACAACTTAGAATGAGTTTAAGTTAAAAACATGGGGTTTAATTTTCATTTATGTGCAGAGAATAAATTTTAAGATCTAATCAAGGAAAAAAAAAAGTCACTTGGATCTCTCAAAACCAGCTAAGGCAAGCTGACTAGCAAACCACCTTCATTACAAACCCGGAAAGAGCTGCGAGAGGCTTCTATCCACTGAAAAGGAATTTCTTAAGAAAGTTTACAAACATCCAACAGAAGCCTTGTTTAAGACCTAATGAAGAAGTCATTTTTACAGATCTGTACACACACACATATTTGATGCTTTATGATGCTCTAGAGAAGTCAAAGCAAATTTGAATAACTGGTAGATTTATCTGGACTCCTTTCTCCAGTCAGAGATGGTGCTGCATCTTTAATAAAAGCTTCACTTTATTGAAGTGTTTACCAGGAGCTATACAATGTGACTGCAACTAAAAATAAGTTAGAATATAAACACCACATAAGCTCGTCGGCCGGAGGCTGTACCAACCTGACCCCTCCAAAAACGCAACGCACTGGAGACTCACAATTCGCCACTCGCTCTCACGCGGGGCAGCAGCAATTGCAATCAAACACGGTTAGTTTTCGAAGTACAGTTCTCCAAAAGCGCTGGATCAGCAGTTCATATTTGTTGTTGTTGGGTTTCTTATTTGTTCTTTGTTTCTAAACTACTGAGCTGACAACAGCCTTTGCAAAACTGACATTTAATACTAACCCAGTGTAATCGGCTAGAAAGCTGTGACATTCTGCCAAGTCACACGCACCCCGAAGGAGGTCTGGATCTAATTTTACCCTTATTTGATTGAGAACAAGACAACATGACACACCTGAGCAACTCATTTTGACGATCAGAGGAGGTGAAGACTGCAACCAGGATGCTATGATTTATTGTTCAATCAGACCACTCTAAACGCAGCCCCGTCCGGTCAATACACTATGTGCAAAAGCATTAAGAAACAGAGTGCTAAGGCACAAGCTGTAAAAGTTAAAGGCTATACTCATGTAGCAGATGTGTTCCAGTCAAAATACAGAGAGAAAGGCTGGAAATGAAACGCATCCATCAAAAGAGACAGCTGTTACTTCCCATAAGGGACTGCTGATAAAAAGAAATTAAAATTGGGGTGGGGGTAGGGAGGCAATTCATAGAAGATGCCAGAAAACACATCTCAGCTGAGAAGCAGCATCTGAACGAGCGCAGGCAGCCAGCCGGG